TGCTGACTTGTGCTAGGCTAGCGCAACTCAGATATGCAATTCTGAGTCGATCCAAAGTCTAGAAGTCGTGATTAATGACATAGACTGCGAACGCGAAGGACCGCGGTCAAAAGTAAAGTGCCCTTTAGATTGTTGTGCTGGCGAAACTGAACCTTGTGCTGACTTGTGCTAGGCTAGCACAACTCAAATATGCAATTCTGAGTCGATCCAAAGTCTAGAAGTCGTGATTAATGACATAGACTGCGAGCGCGAAGGGCCGCGGTCAAGAGTAAAGTGCCCTTTAGATTCTTGTGCTGGCGAAACTGAAGCTTGTACTGACTTGTGCTAGCCTAGAACAACTCAGATATATAATTATATATCGTTTGGTTGACTTATACGAATATAAATCTTACTTTTCTTCTTTTCTGCCTAAAATCGTTTTTTTTTTTCGTTTTATTCTTTTCATGATTATTTTTCGAAGATAATACTTTAGCACAATGTTAGCACAACTTAGCACAACCTAGCACAATAAGAAAAATGGCGAAAATAAAAAAGTGGGGAGTTACAAAAAAAAAACGGTTTTTTCCATTTTTTTCGCTCATTTTTCTTATTAAAAATTTATAAATCGAGCACAATGTAACACAAACCTAGCACAAATCAGCACAACTGTCAAAATTAATAAATTCGAAAAGTGGGGGGCTAACTTCATACAGGCAAATTATCGCTGTAAATAGAGTGTATTTATTAATGATATTTAAATGTAATTACAGAACGATAGAAGACCGATTAGACAAAATGGGAGAACGACTTCACGCTATAGAAGCAGACATAAAATAAGTATTGCATGTATTGACCATAAAATGTGCTATGCATTACATTATGTTACAATATTTCATATTTTTATTTACAGAAAATCGCACGGAATACTGCAAAAGATTTTGAAATGCGTCCAAGATCGCTACTCTGCACCTAGAAAGCCGAATGGGCTACCAATTTCAACATTAGAACAAATGAATGAGTTTGAACATCAAGATGTAGAAAGTTATTCCAAAGTTGTAAGTAACATTAATAACTTTGCTATCGAAATGAAAGTCAAAAATTTGTTTATTACACTTAATTGTCATGTTTCCAGGTTAATTATTTACATTACGTCGGCGGCTTTCACTTGAAGGAAGCAGTACAACTCTGTTTGAAAGAAGTCTTGTCCGACGCATTGACACGATCTTTCACATGGTTCGGCCGTGAGGAAGGACGCCGACCGTTATATAATATTAGGCTTGCATGGGCCATATATGGTGATACATTTTTATTTAACAGTAAAAAAGATTCCTGTAATATTTTATTATTTACATGTCTCGTGCATTTATTTTCCAGATGCAGTTTGCAGGAATATCTACTTTGAGAAACCGATGAAATCTGAATTTTAAAAGCAGATAAGGGAGGGTCTTCGTGTAGCAAAGGAAAGATATCGACAGAGGATGCGTTCACATCCAAAGGAAGCAGCCCAGCGAAGAAATGAGAACATGTGGAACGAGGACTCGGAAACGGATGAAATGGATGAAACAAACAACGAATAAGAATAGTATTATATTAGCTAAAAGATTTCATTATAGAATTTATACACATGATAGTACTTTTACTTGTTCCTGAATAATTGTACAGAGAGAGAGAGAGAGAGAGAGAGAGAGAGAGAGAGAGAGAGAGAGAGAGAGAGAGAG